TCGGCTGCCTTTTACAACATTTAGTATAGAGACAGGTAACAGAGAGGGGGGGGGGAGAGTTTGGATGATGGGGAACTAACCCAGGCCGAGGTAAACTAGCGACCACAAATTCAGATTGCGCATCATGGTGTAGGGACCGACATGCCCCCTGGAACGGAAATCCTCCTGCATCCCTCCGGTAAGGCCATCAAGGCAGAGAGAAATCAACTAAAAGGTAAAAATAATCACTGCTCTATTAAATACATTAATTTAAAGGTCAGCGAAAATGAGCAAATGGACAGAACATCGAGGTAAAGCGGGAACGAAGTAATTGCAGTAGCTAAACTCGCAGCGGGGACGAAAGAAGATTGACGCCACGAATCATCACCTACCAAAAGTAGTTCACCCCAGCCAAAACCAGCTTTGGATTGAGATGAAGTACCCTCCTTGTACATAAAAAGAATGACTCCGGTCGTAATAAGTCCGACGAAGAGATACTTTTTGAGTGGATACCGTTGTTTTGCCCAAAGCACACTAAGCGCCATAACCGGGATAGGTTTGACGGATTTTCCAATAACCTGTCGAGAGGCAGATCAACGAAATATGAATGTTTTACCTGAGCAGGATAGCTGACATAACGTAGACTTGCATTACTGCTGAACATGGCCCCGATATACGTAAGCCCGCAAAGGGCATAACCCCTTTGAGAAATTGCCGACCTTGGTTCTCGAAAATACCAGAGAGCTAAACAGAAGGACGTATAACTTAGTCGAAACGGACTTACCAGCCTGGGCAAATAAAGCATTGACTAAACACTGTAAAAATAGCATGGGCTTAATGTAGGTAAATTCAACTCTACGGAGGCCATAGCGGGTCTTAGTGCTGAAGAAAGGATTAATTGCAAAGAAAAGTCACCATACATTATCTCTTGTAGAAGGCCATAGATGAAGTACGAAAAGAAGACACCAAGTGCGCAAAATATCAAAAATGCCAGTGATTCTGAACGTCGGTCCATCTTCAGGGAGAAATTTATAACACCTAAGAAAAAGGAAACCTATGAAGATAATCAACTGCTAAAATTCAATGACTGGCTTAAAATAAAAGATATTTTAGTCCAGAAGGGAAGAAAGGGCAGTTAAACGTTAGAAGTTACGACCACAAAAACTCTAACAATATGCCATTAAATCGCGTGTCTTGAAGAGAAATTTATTGCAAAATATAACGGGTGGGATTTAAAAGAAGCGTTTTGTGAAGCGCGTTGCAAGAACTCTAAGCACGGTTAAAAATAGGTCTGTCTCTGAAATATCCTACAATACCGAAAGGCGTACTTTTAGAAATGCAAGTAGCACAAGCGTCTACAGATTAAGAAACCTGCATGTAAAAATGAGAAACAATAAATCGTAAAGCGTGGCTGCCAAAAGCAACAAGAGTTGTGTTAAGATGCAGGAACATCGTGTGCTACCCAATTTCACAATTCCGACCACAACCCAGGCCAAGTAAGACCTGGAAAAGTTCTTAATAGACCATTGTAAAAAACGTTTTGAAGGCACAAGGAAGTGTGCTCACAAAGTAAGATGGTGGGCAACAAAAGTGTAGTGGGTTTACATTGGGATGATGCCGATGGTAGGATGAAGAACAAGTGAGAAGCGTAGATAGATCGACAGACATGGTACGTAGAGGAGGAGATGAAAGGGTGCACATGATAAATAAAGCATACGAGGAAAGGATTCTCCCTGTTTTTTTGACAGTTTCGAGTTTACTTGTAAA